AGATCGCTGCATGTGAGTGCTGGTGGAAATGCTGCGCACGTGAACGGCTTGTAACCCTTTCTGTGTCGAAATACGCCTTTTTGGCGCAGTTCGGCTGGGGATTTGATTGTTCTTCTTCATAAGAGTTACAAAAGGCCCCCTTCCCTCAGGCCAAACCCCTTTTTGAAACTACTGTGACATAACCCTGATCTGCCGTGCTTCAGAGAAATCTACGAGTCTCCGTTTCTGAATGAGTTCGATGGAAATTCGTTGCGTAATCTCACCCATCTACGTAAATTGTAAGTTGTTAAATTGAATTGTAAGTTAAAGCTACCGTAATCACTCAAAACAGTGGAATGTATTTGGCTAAACATTGCTCGAATGCCTTAAATTTCATCGACATTGTCAGTCTCTTAGAAAGGCACTGATGTAACATGAGTAGTTAGGTTAATAGCCAAATATGCCGCCTATGCAATAAGAGTTTTAGAGCCCCTGGTGGCCATTAAAGTTGACATCAGCGCTATTTTTGGCGCGTTCCCTGATTCAGTGTTTGTATAGCGATAACGTGAAGACGTCAAACAGAAAAGAAAGGTGTTGTCAAATAGCGAAAAAGGAACTCACATGAATGTTTCAGTTCGATAACGTGGTGCCGTAAACTCGAAGAGATCTCTGAGGTGCTGCTGGAGAAGAATCTGAAAATCCAATCATTGTTAGTTTTTGACTACTTCCTAGAATAAACCATGGTTAGCAATTGTTAAGACCAAAATAATTGCGAGCTCACTGAGCAACAGATTCATCTTGAACTGCTGTTTTTTCTTGCCTGACAGCTTTCAACAGCACATTTTTGGTTGCAATTGCGGATAAGGGCATGGTCTTGAAAGGTGAAAATCAGGCGCACGGTTATAGCGGGAAATTTCATCAGTTTCCTTGTACACATTATGGACCTGCCTTAGTGGCAGAAGTTATGTTATAAAATGAGAGTAATAAAATATTACCAAATATTTTGAAAGGAAAATCCGTAGGCGGTTAGATAGGAGTTAGAGTTCAGAAGTTGAGAAGGATGTTTGGTTCTAGTGTAAAGTTTGGAATTGCTGACCTTACACTCCTCCCAAAGTCGGCAGCCTTCGCCTATAGGCTGCAAGTCTGTTCGGTTCGAGCGCTGGAGCGTATCAGGGCGGGTTTGACGCGACGAATGGCCAGTGTTCGGCACCAGCTGCGGTACCTACAAGCTTCTCAACTCACGTACCAGGCTGGCGTCGTACAAAACGAGGCCCCAACGTCCATTGTCAAAAAGAGTGTATTTATAAGCCGGCAGGCCGCACTCGCTCAAGAATTCTTCCACTGATCACGGCGGTGACAGGGCTTCACACGCAGTAATTTTTACACTATTAGTTGTAGAAGTGTATAGGAGCGAAGTTGCCACGAAATTCCGGCTCATCCCATTGAACCTGAGAATGCTCTATGACTTTCACATAAAAACGATCAAGCTGTGAGCACAAAAGACGAGCTCGGTGGTGTAATGGCTTGCGCAGTGTCCCGGTAAGCGCGAGCTGAGGTTCGTGTGCCTCCTGGGGTTTGAATTCTGCCCATAACTCAGCATGGGATAAATTTTGAGCGTGATAACTGCGGCGGTAAACAACAGGCCCTAAACAACAGTTATCATTGGTGTTTCGTGGTATGAGCAAAAAAAGGAACAAAACAGTGTTTCTTACTGAGATTGTACTCTACAGAATTCTACGCGATAATGGTCTGAAGCGTATGCCAAGCCTAGAAATGACTGACGAGCATAAAATGGATGTCGAAATCGATCTGTCGGGAAATCAGGTATATCAAAATCTCCAATTCATTTCTTAAGTAATAGTTTTTCACCAATTTTTTTCGAATGTATATGCTTCTTACTTTGCCGTAGTACGAGTCTTGTGGTATGCGCTGATAAGACTGGGATTTGTTCACTATTTATTTACTTGTTTATCTGATTTATTCACCTATTGTTTTGGCCCTCTTTCCTTTTTAATCCTAGACCTCCTGTCCCTTCTTCCTCCACATCTTTTTTCCTCGGAATTTGAAAATCATCACATTTTTTGAAGTTGCATTGTAAACAGCTACTGTAATCCATAGTACATACACTATATCATCCTTTTAGATTCAATACATCGGGGATGGCCGGGTTCGATCCGTTCGAGCGCGAAGCCTACGGCCTGAGTAACAACCGGATCAAAGAAATCGCTGGCTATGCTTTCACTGGCAGTACTTTCCTTAAATTGTAAGTTTAGGTTCAAATTCTATTGGGAAGGGGATTCTGCTAACGCAAGCAGCTCGAGGACAAGTTATAGCGGGGCTTGCACTCGAGCTAGCAAGACTTTTAATTATCCGCTCGCTCGTTTGCGCTCTCGCTGGATCCAATCGAACATTATCCAAACACATCCTCCTTGTGAGGGTGCAGATGAGCGGAGAACGCCTGTCAGCTAACTTTCTGCTGACTTCTCCCCTCCAACTACCGTAACGCTAAAAAGCTCCTTGAGAACCCCGTGTAATAAAAAAGGATTTCCTCCAAGTTGGGCCCGAGTGTATAAGCAGTTCTGCTTTCAGAGCCATCAACAATAATGTGGAACTCACTGATCTGTCGACAGATGCCTTCAAAGGAATCACGGAGCTTCACCATCTGTACGTGAGCCAGTTCATCAGTTTACGGTATCGGTTAACAGTATGGATGTTCCGAAAACTGGAATCAAATCCATGAATCTGACGCAGTGGCAAGAGTTGCCACTGTCTCACGAGTCTTGGAGCGTTACCGTTTAGCTCGATTTCTCGTTCCTTGTCAGACAAGATCACTGGCCTAACTAGTACGAAACTAGCCATGAAAAAGAGAATGCATTAGGATAGAAAGAGAGTTCTTTCTGTTATTGTGAATGGGAGAGTTTGAGCCAGTGGCCGATGCCATATCAAAGGGGTTCTCCAGCCACCTCCTAAACCGGGCGCTAGTCAAGAGATTCGATTGACGATGACGCACAAGAACTTACTTACGCGCGTCTTGATAACTCATATTCACAGCAGTTAGGTGGTGCAGTTGCCAGCCCGCAGC